TAAAAAGACATCACTTGTAGAGTTCACAGGTGACTGAGGGGAGCAGCTGGAAGTGTGCAGCCAGCCACCATCTTCAATTCTGGGAGACTGAGCTTTCAGGTTTTTCAAATGGCACAAGCCTCCTAACAGTCCTATGAATCAATGGACACTTGGGAAATATTAATAAACAACTTTTTATGAACTATTACTACAAACAACTTCAGCAAGTGGGGAGAGAAAGTTTAGTGACCTTTTAGTAAACATTTTTAGCTTAACAGTCTTTGGGACCAGATCATTTTTTTAAAAAAACAAAAATGCTTATAAACGCCATTGCCCCATATTCAGCTGGTGTACACTAAAAACAGGATGATGGAAATACATGTTTTTAAAGCATTTCCACAGGAAATGTTCATATTTTTCATGACATTCTAAATCATTTAGCAATTACAATGCTACATTAGCTAAAACACAAGTATTCTTTATTGCACATTTCAAAGTAGTAAGGATGCTATAGATTAAAAGGTGATTTTTGTTTAGGGAAGAAATAACATTTCTGAATTGTTTGGCTCAAAACTGCATACTGCCAAGGCAGCTTAGTTCTAACAACAGATCTTTTAAAATAAACTTGGATTTTGAAGCCAATGAAATCCTTTACTGTAATAAATAATGCACAGTCCATTTTTTCTCCAATGAAACATCAGAAGTCATAGTTATGGGCTCCGATTTAAAGCCGGTGAACAGTCCTGACTAGTGCTGCGAGAGGCAGGAGGAGGCTCATCGTTTGAGCCTGGCGGCAGTACGTCTCTTCTGGCAGGTGGTGGTCGGTAATCCTGGGGAACATGGGTTGGGGGTGGTAATCGTGTACCAGGAATAAAGTACTCTCTTGGGCCAAGAGGACCTAAAGGCCTAAATGGTGTGTGTCCTGGTAAAAGTTCCAGAGGGTGGAGTGGCAGGTCCCATTTTCCTGGTGCAAATTCTCTTAAGCCTAGTGGAGGACGCATACCAGGGCCTGGAAAACAAAAATTATGTCAAGTAAATTCCTAGGAACATAGCTAAATTAAGATAATGCCAGGTGTGTTAATATAATCTGTCATCATTTTTTTTTTGGAGGCAGGGTCTTGCCTGTCAGCCAGGCTGGAGTGGAGTGAAGTGATCATGGCTCACTGCAACCTCAATCTCCTGGGCTCAATTGATCCTCCCCCCGCAGATTCCGAGTAGCTGGGATGACAGGTGCAAACCACCACACACAGCTAATTTTTGTATTTTTTGAAAAGACAGGGTTTCACCGTGTTACCCAGGCTAGTCTCAAACTCCTAGGCTCAAGGAGTCCACCTGCCTCAGCCTCACAAAGTGCTGGAATTACAGGCATGAGCCATTCTACCTGGTCTGTCATCTTTATCTTGAGATAGATTTGTACTTGGAAGTACTATGTACCATAACAAGAAGACACTCTAAATATGAATTCACTGCAACAAACATTTTGATAAATTCCATTGTTTACTATTGTATATTAAAAATTTATGTAGTAGCACAATATGTGCCTAATATATGCCATAAAAATCAAGCTGCTTGCCCTGCTGAAAAGATCTTCCAGCTTCATCTAATTAAATCAGCAGAATTCACTTGATAGCGCTAAATTCTACCTTCTTTTTCATATCTCCCTCCTTTATATTTCCCAAGGTGAGGGTTGAGGGTTTTATCTTTCCCTCTCTAATATTCTGTGACCCATTGCTAATGATTCTGTTATGGATGATGAGAAGCTTTATGTTGTAGACTGCATATATGTGTTCCCTACAGGACATCTTAATAGGGGATGTGTTTTATCTACCTTGCTATCCATTGCATAACCTAGTACAAAGCCAGAGGTGTTCAAAAAACATGTGCTGAATATTACGGACTTTCTATAAGTGGACCGTTTCCTTGTTCTCTTACAGACAATTACTGTTGATCTAATCACAGGACATTATGCAGAACCCTTTGTGTCATAAGACACTTGGGGAGAAGTCACAATGAACTCAGGCAGCTTCACTGCTGCATTGCAAAGCCCTGCAATTGCAGTTGTTTTAGAAAGGGATATAGAGAGAAGATAACTATAGTTTGCAAGTTAATCGCTACTGTTAAGATCATCTTACCAAAGGGTGGAGGAATTGGCCGAGGCCCAAAAGGGCCACAGAGCTGAGGCGGTGGTCCATATTGAATGGGTGGTGGTACAGGGCCTCCCATGGGGG